GAGCATCGGCTAATGCTTTTTTGACATCTTATCCAATATTATTCAAATTAAGACCCAATATCATTAAGGTGGTATTCTTGCAAAGAGCATTAGCTAATGCTTTTCCTCCGTCTGATCCAAAATTATTCTCGTAAAGGTATTACGTCGTTAAAGTAGTGGTCTTGCAAAGAGCATCAGCTAATACTTTTCCTCCTGATCCAAGATTATTATCATCAAGACCTAATGTCGTTAAGGTAGTATTCTTGCAAAGAGCATCAGCTAATGCTTTTCTCCTTCTGATCCAAGATTATTATTGTCAAGACCCAATGTCGTTAAGGTAATATTCTTGCAAAGAGCATCAGTTAATGTTTTTCCTCCTTCTGATCCAAGATTATTATCACTAAGATCTAACGTTATTAAGGTAGTGTTCTTGTAAAGAGCATCAGCTAATACTTTTTCGATGTCTTATTCAAGATGATTCAAATTAAGACCCAACGTCATTAAAGTAGTATTCTTGCAAAGAGCATCAGCTAATTCTTTTCCTCCGTCTGATCCAAAATTATTCTTGTAAAGGTACTATGTAGTTAAGGTAGTGTTCTTGCAAAGAGCATTAGCTAATGCTTTTCCTCCTTCTGATCCAAGATTATTATCATCAAAACCCAACGTCGTTAAGGTAGTATTCTTGCAAAGAGCATCGGCTAATGCTTTTCCTCCTTCTGATCCAAGATTATTATTGTTAAGACCCAACTTCATTAAGGTAGTATTCTTACAAATGGTATCAGCTAATGCTTTTCCTCTGTCTGATCCAAGATTATTCTCGTAAAGGTACAACGTCATTAAGGTGGTGTTCTTGCAAAGAGCATCAGCTAATACTTTTCCTCCTTCTGATTATCATCAGAACCCAACATCATTAAGGTAGTATTCTTGCAAAGAGCATCAGTTAATGCTTTTCCTCCTTCTGATCCAAGATTATTATCGTTAAAACCCAACGTCGTTAAGGTGGTATTCTTGCAAAAAGCATCAGCTAATGCTTTTCCTCTGACTGATTCAAGATTATTCTCGCAAAGGTACAACATTGTTAAGGTAGTGTTCTTGCAAAGAGCATCAACTAATGCTTTTCCTCCTTCTGATCTAAGATTATTATCATCAAGACCTAATGTCGTTAAGGTAGTGTCTTGCAAATAGCATTAGCTAATGCTTTTCCTCCTTCTGATCCAAGATTATTATTGTTAAGACCCAATGTCATTAAGGTAGTATTCTTGCAAAGAGCATCAGCTAATGCTTTTCCTCCGTCTGATCTAGTGTTGGCAGGAGAACCTATTTTTGGCAAATGGCGAAAGACGAAACTAAACCCAGCAAAAGATGAAATCAGGCGAAATGGCAAAACTTTGGCAAAATGGCAAAACTCTGACAAAACAGCAAAACTCTGGCGAAACTCCCTGGTAAAGTTGAAACTCTGGAGAAAGTCAAAATTTGGCGATCAAATTCTCTAAGACTTTAGAAAAGACTAAACCATGTTAGTAAATCAAAATTATTGAATAAATATATACAATATATCGCATAGCGCAATACTCTTATTTATTATGCATCAATTTGATTGGCTAGTTTTGTCAATTATCATTACACGAATTTTTCTAAAGTTAGGATTAGCTTAAGATAGATCTAAAAATGCATTTAAATTTTTTAATAACTGTGCAAAATTTTATACTAAACATTTTTACTTAAAAGAAAAGAATGGTTATTTTAGTAAAATTTCATTATGTTTGCATTTTTTTAGTTTTTCTATTATTTTTTAATGATTACTCAAAATTTTATTAAGATAATCATCCTTTCACTTTTAATTAAATTGTTCAGCACAACCTTTTGCATATAGATGTATAAAAATTATTTTATAATATCTAATTTTTATAATATTATTAGTAAAAATATGAAAAAGCCTTATAATGATCGACAAAATTAGCCAATCAAATTGATGCACGATAAATAAGATTATCACCCTACTATGATCGGGAATATCAAATAACTTTTGTTATCCGACATTTCATATGATCATGTGAATTTTTTTGCCATGATATTTTTTGCATGAAATTACTTAATCAGTTTTGCAAAATATCACAGAAAAAACTTTACATGGTCATATTAACTATTGGATAACATCATTATTGAACATACGTATGACAAATAACAGGCAAGTTTTTTTTCAACAGAGTTAATTTCACTCATGTGCTGCTATGCAGCACATAGAGTGACATTAACTCCGACAAAAAAAAATTGCCTGTTATTTTTTGTCATCTGTCCAATAATGCATACTTATTTAGTAATTTTTTATACGTTAATTTTTTACACGTAAAATGCTAACTTTAAAATCTCATTAAAAAAGTTCTTTATGCAAATCAATCTATTTATTTATTTTACATAACTAATACTATTAAATCGTAATTATATAAATTAATGCTTTTTGTGTTTTTTGATAATATTTATATATTTCATATTAATATTTAATAATTGTATTTCTATTATTCAACCTTGGCACTTGGTTACAAACTTGGACATTTGTTTTTTTTCAAAACTTCTTGTCCCGAATATTGCTTCTATATGTGATAGTCCTGAATGTAATGGAAGAATCTTTCAAAAGTGACTGAAATTGAGCAAAGACAGAAGACCAAGATGACACTGTTAGATTTTTTTATTTGCTTAAATCTTGATTGCAATTATTGCTGATAGTTACTTGTTTTTGAGAATTGTTTGAGGAATCAATATGTTCATTTAGAACTTGTTCTTGAAAATTTATTATTACTCAAAAGCTCCTAATAAATAAATTGCTTGCTTGTAATATTTAGTTTTATTAACGTTTTTAGTATAAACGAAAGAAAATCAAGAATGAAAGGAAGAAAAATTCTAATGTAAAAAATATATATCTAAAGTTTAATTTATATCATTAATTAGAGTTTAATTTTCATAGTGAGTGACTCTGATCGATCATTGTAGAGTATCAGATAATACCGTTATTGAATACTCCACGCTAATAACTGACATATCTGGTGGAGAATTTGATCATTTAATGTCTGGGACCTGCAGGAGGACCCCAAACAATATATATATAGGTCAGATAAAATTTTTAAAATTTACTAAGGTCAATAAGCAAATTATTTTTAGTCTTACTAAGCAAACTCTTATTATAACTTTTAAATTTTTTATACTGCTAAGCAATTTATTTTGTGATCTATTATAAAATAAAAAAATTTATTAATTTTTATTTATTATTACTTTATTTAAATTACTTTACTGGAAATTTTTTGGCCTCGCTCATATTTTAGGTTCAACCTCGAATGCTACAATCCTAGTAATAAAATCGATCTGCCAATTTTAAAAAAATCAACCGGCTAAGCTGATAATTTGCTTTTAGCCGATTTTTTCACTATCGGCCAAGATCACTAGGCATAATATGATAAGTTGTACAAGCTTCTTAAAAAAGTATATAAAAAAACATAACAGTGTGATCCTGGGGACAATTGACTGAGCACTTTTGCGAATATAAAATTTAAATAGAGGAATATCTAGGTCTGAACCAAGTGCTGTATAAAAACAGAATCACGAATAAGCCAACAAACTATAAAACTAAGATTGATGAAAAAAATCAACTTGTATCATTAGGCGATCTTTTAGACTTCATACATCAAGCTACTCTTAGTGATCTAATATTGCATCCTATAGATAGTGAAATTTACAATTTAAAATAATACAGTTTATAATGAACATTTATAATGAACGTTTGTATGATATTATAATGGTACTTCTCGTTTTTTTTACTGCTTGAATTTTTATATACGCTTATTGCAAAATTTTGATTTATTTAAGTTCTTTATAAATTTACAGAACTTTTGGACTCTTGAATCGAAGCTTCAAAAAGAATCTGTTTTTATAAAAAAGATACTACCTCTTGGCACTACAAGAAAATGATATATATACCTAACGTACTGGTATGTGGATAGAAATACATATTTGTTATTAGTTATTATTGTAAACAATTTTAAGCCAGATTATGAAACTAACGACAAGATGATTATATTCATTTTCAGAACTGCTCATTCGCGAGTAAAAATCATTCGATTTCATAATTTTTTAATGGATAAATTTTATGAATTAATCTAAAATTAAATTACAGAGTCAGTATCTGGTCGCGGAGAGCTCTCATAGATATTTCTGTTATAGTATATTCAAGAGTCTTTTTTTTTTACGAATTTTTTATTCAAATCTTCATTATAAAGGATGGCTCAATGATTAATTATTCAAAATGTGCTTTAAAATTGAGCTATTCTGTTGTAATATTAAATCCTAATGCGGTATCTTGATATAAAGGGAAAGGTGTGATATGTATTATAAAACTAGTAGATTTTACCGAAATACTATCAGGCTCCTTAAACGAACTTTCTAAACTTAATCTAACAATAAATTTGATAAGCCCAAAAGGTTAGTTAATATCGCAAAAAAAATTATTACTTTATTATTAAATTGATAATTATTTTTACATCATACTAATAATCCTATTTTTAATAGTATCATGATTAAAATAATTAAAAATATTACATGCTTCTCCTGTTAAAGTTAATGAATCACACCAATTATTACTCTATTTGAGTTAATATGATATATAATATTTTGAGAACAATGATGAGTAAATAGTGTATAACCTTCTATAGTTTGACTTGCAAAAATATTAAGATGAATTGACAAATATACTTGCAATGAAATATAAGATAAATTTTCAATTTGAGTAACTGCATTTTCGTTATAACAATGATTACCATAATCTTCATAATACATTGCTATTACTTTGACAATACAGATTTTTGTTTTATATAGCGCAATTACATAATCATCTTGCTGTAATGGAAAATCTTGAGTAATATTTGCTGATTCAATATATTTAACTATAAAAATAATAAATTATTAATAAATTATATAAATAAATTACATACTATATTAATAAGATATTTACTTTCATTTTTAACTCTATCAACTCATCTTTGCTTTGATAATTCTGATTGTTGTAAACTTGCAAGATTAGTAGTCATTGTTTTCCAATTTTCTTTCCATCGCTTTTCACGTTGTTTTATAAATCGCATTGCAGGATCTGTATTGTTTATAAGTTGTGAAATTAGATGACTAGCCTTGTTTAGATTAATAGTACGTGACTTTTCATAACCAATTAGATGTGTACAATTTTGTTTTTCAATTGGTTTTAAATTGTATGCTTCATGACATCTTCGTAATGCAATCATATTTGAATAATCTAACTCTTCTGTTAAAAAGGTATATCTAATAATAGGATCTTTTAAAATTATATAAACACTTAATATATTATTAAAAGTTTTAGTAAACATAATATTAAAAAATTATACTGTGTTCAACTTGCTCATTATTAAAGATTCTTGTTGAATTATTTAAAATTGAAATAATTTGTGTTTGGTAAATTTGATCATCAGTATCTTTAATATTCAATGAATCAAAAATATTATTAATAGCTTCAGTAGTATATTTGAAAGCTTGACTAATTGCATCAGAAATTTCTTTATCAATTTCAAAAAATTTATTCAAGTCATTTTCAAATTCCGAATTTGATTTAATTCCAGTTGATATTTCCAAATCTGGTGTCTCTATCATTACAAATGGAAGTAATAATGAATTATTTGTACTTGAAGTCGAGTTCATATCAAGTGCTTTGGCAAGTTCAGATGCCAATTTGTAAGAATGTTTAATCGTTGTTGCAATATCAATATCTGATGGCCAAGTACATAATTTTGCTAATTTGCTTGAATTAATATTTCCTATATTATAATCATAATGATATTCTTAAAAAAAAATTTGAAATTAAATAGATAATTTAATAATCAATAATTGTGACAGATCATAATGAAATCCAGATCAAAATGAAATTATAATATAAAATCTTGAAAAAATAAAATTTTTAGAGGTGTATTTTTTAGAGATAGAGGTTAGGGTTAGAGATTAGTTTTAAAGTAAAGTTATAATAAACAAGTATAAGTTGGTTTTAGAAGGTTAACAGATTGAGTAAAAAATGTAGATTTTATTTTAAATTATAATCTGTAACAATAATTAGTAAAAATAAATTTGTAATTTAACTACAGTGCGGGACAGCTAAAGATATCCGCTTTTATTAGTTATTTTAAAAATAGTATAATTTAATAAAAAATTATTAAATCAAAAAACCCTCTTTCAAATTGATAGTTTATAACCCAAACTACATTTCTGAAAGAAGATTTTCTTTTATTTTTATTTTTAATAGTGTTATAACAGTTTAAACTTTGTTATTTTATATATAAATCAAGAATTTGGCGCTGATCTACATGCATGAACATGCATAAGCCAATAAAAATCAATTATTTTTGTATTACATTATCTTAAATTTGGCGTATCTTAGTAAAAAGTTAATGTTTTATAGTATTGACACCTTTTACTAATAAAATAAAAGGTAGATATCTTTAGCTGTCCCGCACTGTATAAAGAAGGTGACTATAGAGTAAGTTGACATATAGTTGACACCTGCAATAGTCACATCATAAAATTGGGTATGACATGTGACTATAGTGAGAATGTAACTATAGCGAGAATGTGATTAATATGAAATAATTATTTTTTTATTTTTAGTATTCTCTAAATAGACTTTTTGTTTCTTCTTTCTTAATTAATTATATAAATTATATAAATTACTATTTGAATTGTTAGTTTGTAGATATTATATGTATTTATTTCAACTTAAATTTTACAAACTATTAAAATATATATTATAAACCGGGTTAAGGGTAGTAACAGATATTATGTAATATTATTTTATTATAGAGGTACCCCTCCTCTTTCCTACATAAGTCAATTCTGATTAGTTAATTTAAGAGTAGGATGTATGTAGATCATTTTTTATATGATCTGTATAGTACATTAAATTTTTACATAGTAAATAAAAAAATGCTTCCGATTAAACTTTTTAACATCTTAGTTAATTTTTATCAAATTTATATGATATGTAGTTTAAACTAATTTGTTTATAATAGTGAAGTTGTAGAATATATATTGCTTTAAAAAAAATGAACTTTATATATAATCAAAGTTTCTGGAGTCACTATATATTTTTCCAGAATTACACAAAAATTTCTAATTTTAATTGGCTGAATCATATGATGTTTATATGTAAATCATATAATATCATATACAAAAAGTTGATGTATAATTTATTTTATATTGTTACAAGTGAACTGTAGCCTTCTTAATACAGCACAAGTAACAAAGCACATGACTACAGGATATATAGTGGTGTGGAAGTAAAATGTAACTTCACTAGAGCAGTTTGAGGAAGGTATATAGTTAAAAAAAGATATATTTTATTTACTTGTTTATAGAACTTTTATTACATGAAGGAATTCTATAACTAAAGGGATATCTGAGTCTAATTTTAACTAACTGGCAGGAAGGAAGAAAAGCCAGGGTTTATATATCTTTTAAAATAATAAAAAACAGTAGAAAAGGTAGAAAAGGTAGAAAAGGTAAAAACAGTAGAAA